CTATCTGATATTCGCGAGCAAGATCCAAGAGGAAGTAACAGTTATTACTTGAGATGACTTTCTCCTCTAACGATGGGTACATCATTTGAAGCAGCTCGTTAATTTCACTCGCTTTCTTCCCTGGAAGCGGAATTTCACCCGAGTTCTTTTCTTTAAAGTCATACGTGAACATCCGCTCAAACACTGGCGACCAGAAGGCCAGCGTGCTTCGATGAACATGAAATCTCTGTTCTTCAACCACAAGTACCACATCGCTGAACTTCCAAGGCTCTGAGAAGTCGGGTGGATCAGGTGAAGCACTGCTTGGTTTATCCATTGTACAGCAGCTCAACGGAAATGTGGTGGATTTCAATTGCGTTGCTAGAACTCGAGGTATCTCTCGTTTACTTCACGCCATATGATGTAACTGCTGAAAGCGTATATATTTATTTTGAAAGTTGAAGGCAGTACTGATTCAAATTGAATACATTTATTCAGCCAACCCACGTTTCTACTGGACGAAAAAGTGACGGTAGTTACAACATATGACGTCAACGCTGTATTGCCATGGTAACTCCGATGCCAATGAAGAATTTGAAAGAAATGGGTGAAGAACCGTACCCTGGATAGAGAAGTATAATCAGTTCAGTCGATCCGGGATGACATGGAAAATGCTAGAAAAACCCGGGTGCCATCACTGATCGAAGTTGAAACAAACACAGGAAATTGAAGATTTCAAATTTCATGCATTAGGACCTTAGTCCTCTGATGCTGTCGGTTTGGCTCGTATTGACTTCACGCATCAGATTTAAACACGGATAAAGGCTAAAAGTTATTCTTATGATGCAATGTATCAAATATAAAAAAAAAAGGTTTGCCATCCCTTTTTTACGTACTTGATGCTACTGCGAAAACTAAAGCGAAAAAATTGCACAATTTAGGACAATCGAGAAAATTCACATTTTTTGGGAACAGCAGTGAGATCCGAGAAAGTAACCGAAAGTAAAAATACGAGTTTCTAGGAAAGCGAATTGATGCTATTCCTAGCTTCCAGGAAAAGCTTTGGGGAATTCATGTTTAAATGTGAAAATAACATACCTATTTTAAGACATAAGTAGTCTGGCCAGTAATTTTTATTTACTTATTTATTTTTTACGGATACTTATTCACCGGCAGTAAACGGAGATTATTCTCATTTCTTCGAATCAAACGAATGTATGCACTGTTGAAATGAATAATAAGTCGAGTTACAACAACACCCTATTCGACATGTATATTCCATCGCTTGTGTCACATTAAATGTTTTTAACTCTGTGACGTTGCAGTTAGCCTTGGAACCCTCATCTATAACAGGGCTGCTGGTAGCGGCTAAGACTTTCTACAATTCCCTCGACGATTCTAGCCGTTTGTAAATATGTCGCTCAGCATTATCTTATGACTTTGAATATTTCAAGCCCTCAGCTTAAGAGTTTTGTTAACGATTGTTCAAAGAAGACTCTCAAACTTCTAGGTCTCTGTAAATTGCACATCAGCGCAGGGCTCGAAATTGCGACTCACTCAAAAATTGAGCACTGCCGCCTAAGTTTTCACAACTGGTGGCCAACTGGCGACTCGCGATTTGTCCGATAACTACAGATAACCTTAACCACAACACAACTTTTGTTTCAAGTCTTTAGATAGGGATATTATTCGGATCTGGTAGCTAGTAAACAATTCAGCGTTCTATTCCCTCTAAAATAATGTCTGAATATTACAAGAAAATTGTAAAAATTAAATGTACTTCGACATGCCAAAACTGCGTTTACCAAGCGCCATATTGTTTCATTGGCCTCTTCAAAAACTGAGATCGCGGGCGCACTACAACACCAAGCGCTTTTCATTTGCCGCGAGAACAATAGCGGCAGATGCAATCAGTTGTGTAGGCCAGGAGGCTAGGGCAAGCACAGTGTTGTCTATCAGCGGCGAAAGACGACGAAAATAAAGAACTACATTTTGAAGAAATACGAAAGGACCCGTGTTTGTCTCACCATGAAAACCACGGACTCAGTTAAAAGTTTTTGTGCTTCGCTCCATTTAAAATAACGTAGAAGAAAACCATCACCTTCGGACCAGAGACATATCACCTGAGAACAACGGTAGCTTTGTAAGTCTTACTCATGCTATTTTCAATAGTTGTAGCTCTTCACTTGTGACTTTTCTTGCATGCAAAGTAACGTACAAAATCATGTCAGTGTTCTTGTGTAAGTTAGATATAAAATAAGTTGGCGACCAAAATTTACGATCTGGTGACCAAACTATTCCCATTAGTCGCCAGCTGGCTCTCGAAAGAAAATGTCAATTAGTGTAGAACGTTTGAGTCGCCTCAAAGTTTCCTCAACTCTTTCTACAATTCCCTCAACAATCCGTTTATAAATATGTATTTGGTTCCATTTTATCATATATCTCATGACTTTTATAATATAGAGCGTTTTCACTAACGTGTCCAGCAGCTAAGCAAATTTACTGGAACAAAAGAAATTTGTTACATAAGAAAAGAGTTCAACTCCCACAGGATTGGTTTGGTACACCAAAATGGCTGCCGTTTCATTGGTTTGGAACTCCAATATGGCTGCCGTGACGTCATGTGAAAACGCTCTATCGAAGCCGTAGACCACGAGCTTTGTTGGCTATGGTATTAAAAAGGTTCTGTTTAAAACTTGAAGGTCTGCATAAACGTCAGATCCAAAGAGCTAGTTTCTGACATATGAGTTACCTTTTCAACCAAAATATCTTCGCAGCTCTTAAAAATCTCCATCGTCCATCTGATACTCATCAGCGAGCGAGTCGACTAGGAAGTGGCTATGCCATTTGTACCAGTTTTCCACGTTTTCCCAGATATTGTTGGATAGATAATCAATAGAAGCTCCTTGATCTCACTTGCCTTTTTCCCCGGAAAAGGAATTTCATACAAGTTCTTTTCTTCAAACTCTGACATAAACATCATCCCAAACACAGGCGACCAGATTGAAAGAGTTGATCGATGGACATGAAACTTCTGATCTTCTACAACAACAGCGGCATTACTAAACGTCCATGGCTCTGAGAAATCTGGTAAAACAGCTGATCTTTTACTATTGCTTCAAGATTAGATTCCAAAGTATGAGTGAGCGGAAGTGAAATCGGAGAAATAACCGGAATTAAAATTGCTTTTTTTTTCTAGAAAAGCGAATATTTTCACATCCATGAAGCATAACTTCTTGGAAGAGCTTTCTCGAGAGTTCGTGAATAACTCCTTAGAATACTTTCAAAAATTAATATTTGACGTGTGACAAGATTAAGACCATGAAGACATTTATCTACGACATTTACCTACTTAGTACATACATACATACACACACACACACACACACATACACAATGTCCCCAGCCAGAGCTCGAACCCGGAACACTCGATCCGAAGACGAAAGCGCGCTAACCATGAGGCAACCACGCCTCCCACACTTCATATAATGTGGTGCCTTCTAAAAGTATATTTGAATAGTAAGAGTCATTACAATGAAAGTTTATACACTTTGCACCCGATTAATGACATCGATGATTGCCAGGAGCCTTCAGTTTTAAGTTTATTCAATAGCTTTTCAAAGACCTCTAGTCCTCTGATGTTGTCCGTTTGGCTCGTAGTCAGATTATACATGGGAAAGCGCTAAAGGTTAATCTTAATTACCACGCGAAGTATCACAAAATTTGTTTTCAATTTCTTCTTAACGTACTCGGAAGTTGCTACGAGGACTTAAGTGAAAAAATGCCACAGTCTGGGAATAACAACAAAATTCGTATTTGCTGGGAATTCAATAACAACAACAACAATTTATTAAGGTATTTCCAAAAATACATGACATTGCCTATTTAAACTAAAGAAAATATAACAACATCCAAAATAATAATAAATAATGCGAAGATTTGATATCTATACAGTAGTCTCTACAAATTAGCATAATAACAAAGGATCTCAAATGTTTGAAGTGAATACCTTTGTGCGAATCGAGTTCGTTTGCACGCTTAGGGATGGTTTAAGGTTTCTTATAATAAGCATCTCCTTAATTAGGCAATCAAATATGTTAGAACATTCAGTAAGCACGTGAAATTGTTCTGAAATTTCACGTACTTACTAAATGTTCTAACAAATTTGATTGCCTAACTAAGGAGATGCTTTTTATAAGAAAACTTAAACCATCCCTAAACATGCAAACGGATTCGATTCGCGCAAAAGTATTCACTTGAAACACTTGTGATCCTTTGTTATTAAGCTAATTTGTAGAGACTAAATAATAATCATAAAAAAAAAAAAAAAAATTATGAACGAGATTTCATGTCTAAGGGACATTGTTGTCTTGTTCATCCATTAAAGAATTTCAAACGTAACTTATCATATAACTGGCACGAGAAAAGAAAGTGTATGCCATTTTCAACCTCACTTGAAGGGCAGAAAGACCAGATTGTCAAATTTATAGAAGTCTTCGCTATTGTGTGTCTGCCTGTTTCAATGCATAATTTATCATTCCTTGATCGAAGTTTATTAAAAACAATTGTGTGATGGGGATTGTCAATCACATCAAGGTGAGGGACGATCGGAGAAAATTACCGGAAGTAAAAATGCAGGTTTCTAGGAAAGCGAATTGTCACTATGCCTAGCTTCTCAGAAAAGCTTTGCGTAGTTCATGAATGTGGAGTATTCCATAGTTATAACTCTCTCTGGCTTATGATTTTTAACAAACAATGATTAGATCCTCATTTCCTTAAGTCAAACGGATCTCACTCAAGTACTGCTACTAGCAATAATAAAACGAGCTCCAAGTTTACCCTATTCAAAATGCATATACAAACTTTTAATCGCTTGCGTCACCTCAAATAGCAAGGTTGGAAACCTTATCTATAATAGGCCTTTTTATAGCTGCTCAAATTCTTCTCAAGCCTTTCTATAATTCCCTCCACAATCTGTTTGTAAATATGCGGATCCATTTTATCATACATCTCGTGACTTCTAAAATCACTCAGCGTTAGTTGACGAGCTTTGTTGACGATTGTTCCAAGTAGTTTTTCTAACTTGTAGGTCTGTGCAAACGTAAGATCAGCAAGGAAGTTATTTCCCGGCTTTTTAGAAACCAAATCGACCAAAACATCTTCGCACCTCTTGCGAATGTCTTCCATCTGATACTCATCAGCGAGCTTCAACAGGAAGTAGCAATTTTCATTCGTTACAGTTTTCCACGCTTTTCCAGATATAGTTGGATAGATAATCAGCAGAAGCTCCTTGATCTCACTTGCTTTTTTGCCCGGTAGAGGAATTTCACAAGAGTTCTTTTCTTTAAACTCTGACGTAAACATTTTCTCAAACACAGGCGACCACATTGCGAGGGTATATAGATGGACATAAAACTTTTGACGTTCTACAACAAGAACGACGTACTGTATTGGTTTCAAAGAATGCTTGTAGCACTAGTTAGGAAGATAATGGCGACTCATAGATCGCGTCTGTCACATGACCTGATGATAGCCATGATACTGACAATGCGTAAATTTAGACATTTTGTCATCTGTCGAGCGTGGTCGCAAAGCTACAGCCTGCCATGGTTATCTGACACAGTTGCTAAGCGCACTCACATGACTCACATACCTACGTATATGACCATCGCATTTGCACCTACAAAATACAGAAAATTTACGGCATAACGTTGGCCAATGTTGGCTTGGAAAATACGCAAAAATCTAGCTACGGAAGTGGCCTAGTAAATTAATTAATAAAGCGGGGCCGGGAAAATAAAAACTGAAACTACAGAAGTGATGTTTTTGATCAAATTGCCATTAACATGCCAAAAAATGCCATTTTCTCCATCTTTATCAGTGCTTTGAATGTTGTGGGAGTCAAAGTATAGTATTCATTTCACTTCAAATAAAAAGTTAAAAATCCAAAGCAAAACTCCATCCAATATGTGTTTTATCTGTTTCTCAGCACGGAGGGAACAACGATGCTACGGTTGTTGTACTCTTTTAGCTTCAGCAGCGTATCTTTACACTAGGCTTTACATAATGTTATCAACAGAGGTTTTCTTTTATTATTATTATTATTATTATTATTATTATTATTATTATTATTATTAAGATAAATGAAATCAAGTTTGCATCAAGTTAAATGGAACTAATTTCTGCTTCTTATACGGTGTAATGGACCTTACAAGAAAAGTAATTTTTTACAGCCTTT